AGGAGGCTGAGGCAGGAAGATCTCAAATTCAAAGCCAGCCTCAGTGATTAAGTACCCCTGGGTTCAATCCCCAGTACCACAAAAAAAAAAAAAGAAAGAAAGAAAAGAAAAAAATTTCATTGACTCATAATATTCTAAAGGTAAAATTTTTTATGTCAATGTTTATACAACTTAGCATTTTTACATAATGAGTTTTTCTTAAGGAAAAATGTTCTAATCATATCTAAAAATTATTCATTAACTAATGTATCTTTTTCTGAAGCACATAAAAGGCACATTTGATAGGTGTAAATATTTCTTCCTAAGCTGGTTACAGTGGTAACTAAGCAGGTAGAAAATGAAAGTCAAAAAAGTTATCTACCACAACAGCACTATAAATTATGTTATTTATTTGGCTACTTATCAGCTACGGGGATTAAAAGTTACTATGGAAAATAACTGTGTTTAATAAAATTTCCTTTTTGGTACCTGAAACTATACGTATGCATCTTTTTAATTGAGTTTTATCTTCTAATGTTTTATAAAATGTTCAGAATGTGATGACAAAGACTTCTGACTCTTAAGATTAATATAAGGCAAAGCTTCCCCAAAAGAAAAATGGACAAATTACACAAGATTTGATTATTAGTGTTTCAGTACTCTTCCAAATATTACATAACTTATTTTAATATAATTAATATTATTTTAATGTAACTAATGACATAATAAACTATTTCTCTTGGATAAATGTCTCTGAAAAAAAATGTTAATCCTAATGTCAAATGCAAAGAGTCTACAAATCCACTAACTCAGGATACAAAAAGATAAAAAGATAGTTTATGATTTTTTTCTCATCAATATTTTACAAATTTGGCTGTAAAAAAAAAAACTAGTACATGAGCACTTTATTTCTCCATAAACTTTTATATTTATTTCCATATTTATAACAAAGTGCAAATTTTTCAGCAATGCATAAGTCTATAGTATTACATCTGTCTACAACCTAAAAACAGTTACAGGAGATTTCAGTCTGCATTACCTGAAAATTTTTTAATATTCTCATACTAAACGTTATGATTTTGCAAAGAAAAATTATTGGAAGTGTTTAATTTACTCTTATGAATTCTGCTGACAAATCTATGTGACACATTCATCCCTGAAATTTTACATAATTATTTTAGTATAACTGGATTTAGTTCCAATTCAAACATCATTCAACAACTGAGCAACTGACACACTGTTAAGCTCTATCCTACCACTTTTAAACAATTTCAACTATAACCCACAATAATTTAGTTGGTTTATATGATGATTCAATACATTATAAAAGAAATATGTGTCACAAAACAATATTTATTCTTACTAATTGCCATGAACTCTGTCATTTTCTTTTTTATTTAATTTTTAAACACTGCTTATAACCCACTAAGTTGATTTTATGAGCCACTAATGGGTCACAACCTACTATTTCAAACACATAATTACACTCTATAAGCATGTAAGGATATAAAAAGGAAGGGTGGCAATAAAATTTGAACACCTGGATCTGGTCTGAAATCAGATAAACCCTATGATCATTACAGAGTTACATAAACCTTCAATTTTATTTTAGATAAAGATAGTAGAACTCATGCCACTTAATTTCTTCTAAAGTTCTACCAAAAAATCAGAGATACTATATTAGTCATGAAAGAGCAATACTTAAAATACAAAGCTAAAATAAGATAAAAAGGTGAATTCCCACTGAAAATTCTGGAATTGGCTATTTGAAGACATAGAATTTGAGCATAAATTTGAAGCATTAGATGGACTTCAACAGGAGCAGAGGAAGAGAAAAGGGACCAGTATTAAAGGCAAAATGTAGACAAGTATAGAGACTGCTCAAGAATAGAGGATATTCCATTGGGGCTGAAATTCAGTATCTGAGGAAGAGTACAATATTTCCAGCCCATTTATTTTGCCAAATGCTATATTTAAAACACTACTAACCATTTCCTCCACTTTTTTTTTTTTAACTTTGTGGTACTGGGGTTTGAACTCTATGCCTCACACATACTAGGTATGTGCTCTACCAAGGAATTACACCCCCAACCCTACTGTCCTGTCTTCAGTTTCCATGGCACAGATCTTGATCTTCTTTCTTACTCTGACCATTTCCATTAGTTTTCTTCTTGGATTCCCCATCTCTGTCTTGTAAGCACATTTGTTTTTATGTTTTAAGCAATACTCAGTTTGATCCTTGTATTTAATGTTATATACAACTAGAGTTAATACTCTTGTTTGATCCTTGTATTTAATATTATAAAAAACAAGAGTTGGCCAACATTTTCTATAAAAGGCCAGACAGTAAAATACTACTGGTTTGGCAGGCTAAGAGGCAAAAATCAAGTATATTATGTAGGCACTTTATACAATAAGGGAGAAAACAAAATTTCCCTTGTTTTAAATTCAACCACTGATTTGCTCACAATATGCTCAATTCTTCAAGCGATTATTCTCGACAAGTGGCTCAGGGTCTTGAGTTTATTTTCCCTGAACACATTTCTTTGGCTGTTGCAATCAAGCAGGAATTAGATAACTCAACACTGATAAAAATGGTTTTCTTTACTTGGCTAACAAAAGAACTACTAGAAACTTACTATGGTTATTTTTTATTTTTGTGAAGAAATTATGCTATGGTAGATATTCTGTCTTAAATTTTGTACATTTTCTGATGACGACTTTCCTATGAATTGGGAAGGTGGTGATGAGTGTTTACTCCAACAATGAAGATATTTATTGTATTCTATTAGTATAGCCATAGCATTGCATGGTTGCATAATGAATATAATGTTTTGCCATTTAATTCATTAAAATATTAATTCACGCTCCCTGTGCCTTATCTTGATGTGACAGGTATGCGCTATTAGTAAATAATAAAATATGATACAGCAATATGTATAGCACTCAAAATGTAATCAAATAAAATATTACTTTACCTATGTCACTGAAATCTGTAGACAATATATAGATCAATTATCACCTGTATTCAAGCTCTTATTATCTCTCATATGAATATTATAAAACTCTCCTAATCTCCTTGTCTCTAGTTTTGCCCCTGAAATTCATAAGTTGCCAGAATGTTCCATGTAAAATGTAAAACTGATTATCCTACTCTCCTTGAAATTAGAATAAAATCTAATCCTCAGGCATGACCTATACATTGGAAGCCTCTCCCCCCTAGCTGTACACCTTCTTTCCCCAGGAATATATTCCTCTCTCACCCCTAGCTACTCTATTCTAATCACACTAGCCTTCCCTCTCATGCCTCAGACAATCCTTGTCCTTTCCTGCCATAAACCGTTCTACAGTACTAAAACAGCAGTTTTCAAACTGTGCTATGAGTGTTCTCTAAATAACAATAAATGAAGGAGGAAGGCAGGAGATGAGTAAGGGCAGTTCCACTGCTATAGGCTTCACTGTCTTGGCTTTCAGGTATAATGTCATTTTTTTTTTTAAACCACACACACTAGAGTTCCATGACAAAATATAAGCATGTGTATGCACACACACATACTGAAAAACATGGTAGTAATAGTCTAATTTGGCTGAGTGCAGTGGCACATGCTTGCAATCCCAGCAGCTTGGGAGGCTGAGGTAGGAAGATCGTGAGTTCAAAGCCAGCCTCAGCAACAGTGAGGTGCTAATAAGCAACTCAGTGAGACTCTGTCTCTAAATAAAATAGGGTTGGGGATGTGGCTCAGTGGGTGAGTGCCCCCAAGTTCAATCCCCAGTATGCCCCATCCCAAAAAAAGTCTAATTTGCTTAGCAAAACATATCAGGTACCTACATGATGTAACTTCCTCATCCTCCCACCTCTAATTCCATCTTTCCATCAATTCAGATGTAATAAGCTACTTCCAATCTCAGAGAGGGCTTTTGTTCACCAAGCCCTCTCTACCTCTTTTACTTCTTCTTGGTTTAGCTAATTCGTATGTGTCTGAGAATAATCTTCAGACTCATCATACCTTTGAATAAATGCAATATTTTCATCAATTGAAGTAATCTGAAAATATTATTTACTTGATTTTAGATTTATCATGTGGTTCCCCTAATGTGAATATAAGAACAGTAAGAAAAAAGATCCTCTGTCTTACTACCACATCTCCAGAATCTAGGGAATAGTGCCCAATATATAGCATACATACATTAATATTCATCAAATGAGTGAAAAATATCCTTTTAATTTTTATATCCCAGTTTCACTGATTGGCACATAACAGGATCTCAACACATTCATGCTAAAAAATAAACCTGGAAATAAAAATTGAGGTCAGAAATGAAAAGCTCTGAATAGCAAGCCAAGGAGTTAAATACTTAATTGTAGTAGATTTAATCTTATTGTTTCTCTCTTCTTTTTATTTATTCTCAATTGTAAAGCCTCTAATAGTTTGACTGTCCTCCAAACTCCCAACTTTTGTGAAGCAGTTGAAGTCAATAAAAATGTAGCTCTACTTAGTGAAGCATATGGCCACTTGAAAAATATGTAAAATTTTAGGGACCGGGGTTGTGGCTCAGGGATAGAGCACTTGCCTAGCATGTATGAGGCCTGGGTTTGATCCTCAGCACCACATATCAATAAACAAATACAGTGAAAAATCCACTGGCAATTAAAAAAAATTTAAAAAAAAGAAATACGAAAAATATGTAGAATTTAAAAAGCAACAGAACACTATAAATAAAATAGTGGGACAATCATGAAAGAAAAAATCCTGAACCCTTTTATAGAATTTAACTGACAGAAATTTTAAAAATTTGTATAAAGTTTTGACTTCCTTACTTAAAAGTATAAATAATTTCAATGGACAGGTATCATATCACTGAGAGAAAAAAATTTCATACCAAGTGTTCAACTTATACCTGAAATGCAGTAATTTTTCTATTTAAAATCTACATTTAAATAATGCTCAACAGAAATTAATGCTAAATTCTGTCAACAAAAAATTAATAAGGATCAAAAACACATAAAAAAAAAATCTTACTAAGTTATTGTCATCCTGGAAAGCATAGTGCAAAGTTGTAATCCATTTATTGTCTCCATTCACTAACACATCCCGTTCTTCACGAAAACATGCTGTCTGGAAAGGAAAGAAAAAAATTTTAGACAACACTTTAGGTAAAACTAGGAAACAAATTATGCAAACAATGGCTTAATATGCTTATTATACTATTTCTATTCTGGAAAGGAATATTTTCAATATATGGCTTTCAACAAATAACTATTTCAAAACAGCAACTGAGCTACTAGAATACTATACTTAAGAAAATATTTTATATCAAAAATATTGTCATAGTTTAAAACAATCATAAAATGAACGGAATAATTAAGAACCACAGGCCACAATACATTTTAGATAACATAAATGCATTTATTTTGCCACATTTACTTCTGGTCTTTTCAAAGAAATAAGACAAAGTTATAGTCTTCCTACTTCTTCCCATTCCTCTCCTTTATTCCCTCACGTAAGCAATAAAATGAAGACAATGTACAGACTACCAATCATGTTTTGACCACATATATATATGTCCATAAACAACAAAACTGGATTATTTTTTAAAATTATGTTATAATTTTATCTATCCTTTTGCAAGTTGATTACTTCTTTCTCCAGAATTACTGTTTCCCTTTTTATCTGCTATGAAATTTATTTAGGCAACCCCCAATTATGAAAATATATATCATTTCCAAATTTGCATTATAACAAGGCTGTAATGAGTATATTTGTATAAGTTTCTCTACAGTATACACTTAGAAGTAAAAACATTAGATATAGCAAATTTCAACTTTGCCAAAAATAGCAATTCTCTATATTAATTACCACTGTACCCCAGCATACAAAAGTCCCTTTTCCTCACATCCTCAAATGTACTTGCCATTATTAAAATTAAGTGGTTGCCTATGATGGCTGTCAAATTATGTCTCATTGTTCTTTTAACTAACATATTCCTAATTACAGGTGCTGATTAATAACTTTATATATATATATATATATATATATATATATACACACAAATATATACACACTTGCTACCTTAACTTTCTCTTTGAATGTTTACTTTGAATGTCCTTTTTGCACATTTTCCCTAATGAATTGGGTTTTTTCATATTTATTTGTTGAAGTTTTAATTTATTCTGAGAATAAATTTCCACTACTATGAAAATATATCCTAGAGAATCTGAGAAATATATGATTAAAAATAAAAAACAATTTATGTAATACATTATAATTCTATTATACAAAATCTTTAATTTTTTAATTAAAAAGAAAACAAAAAATACTATACCAGAAACTTAAAAAATAAATGAGAGGTAAAATAGAAAGTAAAAGTCTCCTAAGTAATGCCCCCACAATTTCAATTTCCAATTGTGTTCACAAGTCACTACCATTAAGCATACTCAGAAAATTCCTGCATATACAGAAGCCTACACACATGCACATGCATGCACACATGCATACAGACACATTTTATATTCATGTAGTATCTCACCTCTCCCATCGTATTTTTCTTTATAGAAATGAAATCACACTGCACTCTAAGTTGCTTATTTTTCCTAAATAATAATATATTTGAACATCTTTTGATCTTATTACGTATAACCCAGCCTAAGTTTTCTGAACAGCTATACCATATTGCATACACACTGCAAATATCATCACAGAGCATGTCTACTTGTAGTAGGTGCAAAGTTATTATTTCTCACAAGATAAATAGTCATGATAAAGAAAACAATCTATAACACTGTGATCCAATTAGCTCAAATATTGCCAGCGTATACCCATAAATTTTATTTGGACAAATAGCATTTCCAAAGCCAGGCATTAAATGGCAACAACAGATAACACCCAAACAAATAAAGTTTAAACCAACTGAAATGGGCAATTTAACCTGTTAATTATGTTATTAAAATCTATAACAGTATGTATTAATTCACGTTAGGAAGAAAACAGAATTGCAAGACCTATTTACCAGTAAGTCCTATTTTATAACTGAAGTGATCTGAAGTTATGGCTTACTACTGGCATGGTAGAAAGGTTCTGAAAGTTGTTAGGGCCTAAGAGAAGGACTTCTCCTGGTATGAACTCACAATGACAGACATCAAAAAATTTTTATGGGGCTGGGGTTGTGGCTCAGTAGTAGGGCGCTTGCCTTGCAGACCTTAGGCACTGGGTTCGATCCTCAGCACCACATAAAAAGAAAAATACACAGATAAAATAAAGATATTATATCCATCTACAACGAAAAAACTAATTTTTTTAATTTTTTAGGCATTCCAGCTAGATTCTAATAACCATTATTTCATTTGATTGATTTCAAACTAAATAAAACTTCAAATATGCTAAACTGTTCAGTAAAAAATAATATTTAAAAATAAAAAAACATACAATAAACTATGACACTAAATTTCAAACATAACAAGACTAGAAAGACAAATGCAACAATCCCTTCTTCCCAATGTACCATGGTTCGATTTCAGCAATTACTTTGTTGGTGAATCTTGTTTCATTACACACTCACTCACTCACCACCACCCCTCAGTTCCCTGAGTACACACGTTCAGAAACAATGAAGTTTTTAAAGAAAATCCAAGACATATGATTTTATCCACAAATATTTAGCTATAAAACTATTCTTACTAATGCTTCAGGTGCTGAGTGTCTAAATGTAAAAAAGACAGCCTACTTCTTTTGCTTCTATATCGCATTCTCCTAGTTAGTTATGACAATTGGGAGAGAGGATTCTACTTGCATCTAGTGGACAGAGGCCAAGGATGCTGTTAAATGACCTAAAATGTACAAGCGAGCTTCTACAACAAAGACTTATCCAGCCCCAAATGTCAAAAAAGTATCCCTGTTGAGAAACCCTGTTTTAGATCAGTACTAACCAAACCATGATGTATGAATAATCTATGGTTCATAAATGTGTTGTGAGGATTCAAATAGTTTAAAGCTATAATAATGTATACTTCAATTATATTTTTTAAAAAACTAAACAAAATATTTTTAAATTTCGCTCCTGTAAAAACAGGATATTTGGGTCTGTCTCATCAAATTATCAATCTTGGATATTTGGGTCTCATCAAATTATCAATCTTAGCACATCAAAATTGCATGTATATTTGAAAATCATGTCAAAAAGAGATGTCTATACCCACTAGTTTCTCATTTTTTTAGGAATAAAGACTTCTTCACTCAAAAAATATTACCACAGAAAAATCCTGGATAATAACTGAAAATTTCTCTAATATTTGATGAAGGAAAAGTCAAAATTTTCATTTTCAAAAAATAAGTAAGTAGAATTTTAAATTAAAAATTTCAGAAAATCCAAATATTACATCTTATACAGCATGGCATCATCACATATCTGGCCCCCCCTCATTTTACCATATGTTTGATGATCAAGCCAAATAGGATATTTTATCATTTTAACTTAATTGTCAGTAAAAATGTTGTTTAACATAATAAAGAGAGAATATGATAGCATGAATAATTAGCAAGCTTGTTAAGAAACCGGCACATTTAAATAAATAAAGATATTCTGGTCCAACATTTATAGAAGACAATTTGTTTAAAGCAATAGCTATTAAAATTTAAATGTGGGCTGGGGTTGTAACTCAGTGGTACAGTGCTTGACTAGCATGTGTGAGACGCTGGGTTTGATTCTCAGCACCATATATAAATAAATAAAATAAAGGTCCATCCACAACTTAAAAAAAAAAAAATTTTTAAATGTATCCCCTAACCCCATGCCCAAGAGTTGTAGTGGCAAGGAGTTTAATTTGAGAAGTAGATAAGTTCTAGAAGTCACACAAAATGAAAAATCCCTTCATGTAAAATTTATCCTAAAATCATTTCAATCTTGGTATATGCAAATTTGGAGTAGCAATATTTCTTATTAAGAACACTTCATACTCTCCCTCCCTTTTCTTTTTCTTAAAATTTACATTGCATATATATCTTGGGTAGCACGACTACTTCTCATGTACTATTTTCTTCTGTTGTGACATTTCTTTTTAACACACACAAGCAGAGTTAGTGAAAAAATGTATTAATAGCTTTACTGTTATCTTATTAAGAATTCACACTATGGATAAGCTCACAAAATTACTGCAATATACATGTGTAAAGATTTTTACTACAACATGATTCAAAACAGTAAAAATGAGAAAACACTGTATATTAAGATTCTTACCTCAGCTCTTTTCAGCATTTCCCATTTATTCAAAATTTTCATGGCAAATACCTTATCTGCATTTTTTAGTTTTACTACAGCAACCTAGAAAAGATAAAGGAAATATAACTTTTAAAATATGACATATATATTACTTCTTTCCAGTTATCCATTTTCCTTTTTCCTCTCTGTAAAAAAAATAAATGCCAATTATCAATTATTTTAATGCAGCTCAAATCTAAAATCCTAAATTAAACAATGTCAGGTAAAAAAAAACAAAAGGTGTATTAGTGAACATATGCCAAACCAATAACTGTACTTATTAACACTGTATCAGTTAGTTATTATATATTATATATTCCTTTCCAAGTTTTCTGCCCTGGAAGTTAAACTCAACATCTACAGTTACTAAGAAATATACCAAAATGTACAACATGAAAGTAATAGATTTTATTAAATAATGCTTGCCAAATTCCAACATGATACTACAGGGTATGCCAGCTGCCAAAACAAATATGTTCTATGGGGATCAAGCAACATGAAAGAAATTGAAAATTATCCTATTTTTCATTCCACATACTCATACGCCACAACCCCCAATCCACAGACACCACACACACACACACTCTCTCTCTCTCTCCCCCCCCCCTCCTTCTCCCTCTCCCTCTCCTGCTCCAACAGCAATTAAGACTAACAGTCTATAGTCTATAAACTATAGACTCTACACATCCATTCGAATAATAACACAAAAAGCAAACAGATATTTCTGTACCTTATATTTCACCTATGGATCAAAAAATTCCCAAATACAAATAAATAGGACCCCATTATCATACTTAATAAACTGGTTACGTTTGTTTCTATCTTTCTGTTTCAGTTTGACAATTTCTAAAGGTCCTTCAAATCTGTTGGATTTGTTATGGGGCTAAGGCTAAACTACAGAAAAGGAAGATAAATATTAAGTGACAATGTTTTCAATTATTGAAAGGCAGGAGTGAGGAAGACAAATAATACCTGCTGTGTTTGGATCTTAATTGTCTCCCAAAGGTCCATTTGGTAAAGGTTTGGTCCTCAGCATAGTATTTGTGAAGAGTGTGAAAAGTTTTAAAGAGGTAGGTACTAGTTGGAGGTCTTTAAGTTGTTGGGACTTGCTTTCAAAGGGCTTTGTGGAAACCCATTAGCCTCATTTACCTCTCCTTTCAAGTCCCAGCCATGAGGTAAGCAGTTTTACTCCGCCAGGAGCTTCCCACTATGATGTGCTGCCATCATAGACCCCAAAGCAACAGAGCCTATTGATCATGGAATATTGATTTGAAATCTCCAAAACCATGAATCCCAACAAACCTTTTTCTCTTTGTAAGTTGATTATCTTAAGTATTTTGTTGCAGTAGTGGGAAGCTAACATACTACACTAATATGCGGAAGAGAATAACATACACAGAGATCTTTAAACAGTTCAAAGGGATATTTTAAAGTATAGGTAATAGATTGAAATCCAAGCTGAAAAACTTTTTAAAAATTAATCTTGGTCTGGGGATATAGCTCAGATCATACAGTGCTTGCCTTGCATGCACAAGGCCCTAGGTTCAATTTCCAGCACAACCAAAAATCATCACCATCATCATCATCATCATCATCTCAATAGCAATTATGCACATCAAGAGCATTTAATAAATTTATTTGAATCTGATTGCAATAAAAGTAGTTTATATGATAAGATTAAAATCAGTGCATAATAATGAACATTTCCTGGTTATTGTTTTTAAAAGTATGATGACTATAATTAGTTTTTCATCAATTGAGATGCTGGGGGGGAAAAAGAGGAAGTATTTCAATTTTAAATACAATCATTTGAGTCTTTAGTCCTACCTGGTCTTATTGGAAGAAATGATGGGTCAGTTAAATTGTTCTCCCAAAAGGTTCACACTTAACACATAACAAGCAAGAAAAAACTTATAGCACTGTCTTACTAAAATCTCTGAAAGGGTGAAAACACAAGGTGAGCTACTCTATAGACTCTGAAATCAATGTTGCACAATTGGGAGTGCACATGGACAGGACAGAAGCATTAAGCTAGACAAGCCTATAGTTAAGTCAGAAAAATAGATGTGAAAGGCTATCACATAAGCCCTGTTACTCAAATATAGGGAAGAAAGATCAGAAGACTCCAACACTTAGGTACCTTCCACTCTTCGTGTCATGACCTGAGAAAAAGTACTCTTAACCCTACATAATTCACCAGTTTTCTATGTGTATGAGTAAATAAGAACCCAAAGGCAATATCAATGATAACATTGGTAGTAGCAGTACCCACTAACATATAAGGAGTGTTGAAATGCCACACATACACTAAGACTTTTAAATAAATCCACAATCCCTTAACCATAATTCTAAAAGTTTTTCATAACTCATTTGGTAGCATGTGGTGACATCAGGCTATTAATATCTTTTACTTTTTATCTCATTTAATATAAAGAAAAACATGCTTCACTGAAGAAACATGAATACATTTGCTAATGGAATACTGCTCCAAACTGTAAGAGAGTGTTACATAAAATATACATGAATACATGAACTAAATTATCTTTCCAAAATCCAAAAAATACTGGAACCAAAACAATGTATGGGTTATACATCTGTGCAGTAGGAATAATGATGATGACACCTAGCATTTATTGAACATACAAACACTTAGCTAGCATTTATTGCATCTGTTTAGAGGGGTGCGGCAACATCAACTTAGCCAGACTCAAACAGGGTTTGAGTTCTAGTTTTGTCATTAACTGTATATATCTGGGCAAAAAATGTAACCTTTCAAAACTTCGGTTTTGGGGTCAATATAATGAGGTTAATAACAATACATACTTTACATAATTGTAGTAAAGACTAAAATCATCAATATGAACACAAAGAACTTACCACAGGGTCTGGTATTTCATTAAGTGTTCAGTGAGTATTAGCTATTATGTGTCAGCACTGTGCTAAGCATGTGGCAAACAGTATACCTGTCCCATGGCATATGAAGAGAAAAAAAAAAAAAAACTTCCATGTTTTCAACTGAACTTTCCATGATTTTATATCTATAGAATATACATATACATAGAAATATAGGCCAAAATTCCCTGAATTTAAAATATTTACATATGAATAAAAGGCCACAATAATTCACCATAGTGTGGTTTTCAATAGTAGAAATGGACCACCTTAAACATTCTATAAGAAGAAACTGACTAAATGTCATAGGAGAGTAGAAAATTATTCATATGCTTGAAGAAAATTATTGAAGAACAGTATCTGACAGGGAAAACCTCACAATGTTATATGTAAGAAAGAAGTTTGCTAAAGTTAGCAGACTATGACTTGGTTTTCTACATACACACAAAATAGATACCATCAATTTCTATGTCATATATATAGAGAGAGAGAGAGAAATATAAGCACCAAAATATATTAGATGATCAGCTATTTCTAGGAGAAATGATTTCTATTTCCCTTTCTGTATCTTCTGTATGAAATATACAAAATGTGAAACATGGAATGGGATAGGATGGAATACCACACCTCATGAAATGACCACTAATTATGGAGGTTTTGTAGTGTGACTTATAAAGGCCAACATAAGCCACATTCTACACATCTGTGTGGTAATCAAGAATGTCAGGCTGCTGCATATATACATATCGAAAAATATTTGCAAAACCATCTTAGAACAATTTTATGAGCTACCTAAAAAAATTTTCTGGAATGAAGTGTGTGGGTGTAGAAAAATAACAATATAGAAATAAAAGTCTTGAATTATCAAATAGATAACATGATGAAAAATGATTATGACATTTACAAGGTGATAAAACAATGACCTTGCTTTTCTCCTTTAACACTATAAACATTTTCACGTTCATTTCAGCAGAAGAAAACCAAGAAAAAGATGATTCTCTTAGAACTCTAACTTTAGGTCCTATATTTTCAAAAACCATGGCTAACTGACATGTAAGAGGGCAGGATGTTAAAATGTCCTTCTTTAAGGCAAGAGACAGAGTTGGGTGGTGGAGTGGTTGCCCAGCATGCACTAGGCCCAGAGTTCAATCCCTTGTGTTACAAAAAGGGAGGAAAAAAAATGTCCTTTCTAGTTTAATATGATCAAAATGAAAAATATATTTAGAATTAACTAGAAAATTTTAAAGTTAACATAAAATAAAGATATATTTGTAAACATTAATATTTAAAGATGCCTTTAAACATTTTGTAGTAAAAGCTACTAGATGCTAGAAAAACTATACACACTTCAGAAATAATGAGTATCTGACAAATGTATGCATATTGGTTGTTAAACACAATTTAAGTATCATCATTTATAGTTACAACCTATAACTTAAGATTGATCATACTACTCTGATAGGATTTCAATATGCAGAAATAGTTGCCACGGAGTTCTGCAAATCTAGTCTGTCTTTGACATCCAAATTCACCATACCTTCTCTGTTCTGTCCCATTCCAAACTATCATCATATCTTGCCTCAATTGTCCTACCTCTCTACTTCTGCCCTTACCCCCCCACAATTTATTACCAATCCTGAAGCCACAGATCCTGTTAAAATCTCCTGCTCCCAAACTTCCAGTGGTTTCCCGTCTCCCTCCAAATCAAAGTCAAAGTCCTTACTATTTCTATAAGGCCAACATGTTTGGGCCTTCCAACCTCTCTGACCTCATATTACTCACCCCCTAATTTATTCTATTCCAATCAAAATAGTCACTTTACTCAATCCTACCTCAAGCCCTTAGGTCTGGAAAATTCTATCTCCACAGAGACACATGGCCTGTTCTCTAATTCCCACACTGAAATGATCCCTTGACAGTTTCTATCCCTTTTCTTTGCTTCCTTTTCCCCCTTATTTCTTTATCACTATTAATGAACTATGTATTCACATACTGTGTTTATTGTTTATTCATTCACTAGAATACAAGCTCTATGAGAACAGGGATTTTTATCTCATTTGTTCACTAGTACATGCGTAGTATCTGAGAATCAATAGGTACTCAATAAACATTTGTTGGATAAATGAATTGTTTTTAATCTTTGTGGGTGCATATACATGGAAAGCTATAAG